CTCAGAACCGGACCCGCGCTCGCCCCAGGGCGCACACGAGCCCAGCGCCTCCCCGCTTTCCGCGTTTCCGGCCCACAGACTCCCAGAAACGGGGTGCCCTGGAGCACAGAGAAAAGCCTGACACCGCGCGACTGGGACGGGACAGTGGGACGCACACTCCCGCTGGGAGCCTTAGGCCCCGCACTCACCTCAGCTTCTCCGCCCGGGCGTTGGCAGCAGTGCGCGGGGTCTCCTCGGCGGCCGGACAGGGGCACGTACCTGACGTCAATGCGCAAGAGACGTACGGTTGGGTGCCCGCGGAAGTAGGAGGGACGAAAAGAAAGGGGCTGGGGCGATCTGAGACAAGGCGGGGCCGAATTTTCCCTGGGGCCAGGCTCAGCCTGCTTGCCGCGCGCGTGCATGCGCACGTCGGCTCCCCTGGCGGACAGGGGCTGACCTCTCTACTTCTATTCGGGTGGTATTATTTGTAACAATATTATGAACAGGAGTGTGCAAAGCACTGTCACAAACGTCAGTTTTGATATTTGCAACCTTGTGAAGCAAATAATATCATTTCTTTTTTGCTTCTCTTGCTGGGCATCACAAGCTATGAGAATACTCGAGCCCCCCCCCAGCCCTGTTCCGTACTCTAGAATAAGAGCTAAATGCTGCTCTGCTTTTCTCTGTCTATGCCTCACAGTCACTGGTTGCAGCCACGTGGGTTTTCTTTTAGCTCAGAAACTTCCTCCCCACCCCTAGATCTTGCATCTGCTGTGGCTTCCTCGGCCTTCTCTTCTCAGGACCTGTGGCCAACTTTCAGTCCTCGCTGCTTTCTTTGGTCGACCTGTATTCACAGCACCTAATTGTTCCTTAGGTCTTTCCTAACTGGGCAAGCTGCAGGAGAATGTGGATAGTCCATGACTCCCTCCACTTCGGGAGGCTGAGGCAGGAGGATCTCTTGAGTTTAGGGCCAGCCTAGAGCCTGTCTCAAAAACAAAACAAAGCAAAACTTAATAGTGCACTTACTATTACCACGTTATTTAGCCAAAAAAGACAATTCAAATATATTTTATTTAATAGCCATATTTGCTCTTGGATTTGTTTAATTATACAAGAATAACTTGAGCCACAGATTAGCTTGGTGGTGTCATGCCTGCTTGGCAAGCACAAGGTCCTAAGTTCGATCCCTGGTACAAAAAAAAAAAAAAAAAAAACTACATTGTTTGTTTGTAGGAGCCAGGATGTAGCTCAGTGGCGCTGTACCTGCCTGGCAAGTGTAAGGTCAGGAGTTCATCCCCAGTGGAGCCCCCACCCCAAGAAAAACTACCTTGTTTCTGAACATCTTCCCTGGTCAAAGAAAGCATCGTGTAAAAGCTACATGCTACTGTGTGGGAATTGCAGTATTTGCCCAATCTCCTACTGTTGGAATTTAGGTGGTTTTGGCTTCTGTAAAATTTTTTCAGTGCTGGAGATCAAACCCAGGACTTTGCACATGCTAGGCAAGGGCTCTGCCACTGAGCCGCACCCCAGCCCAGGCCACTATTTCTTTTTTATTATTGTGAAAATGTGTAAGCCTAGTGTTTTTTGGGTTGTTGTTGTTGGGGAGGAGCTTTGTTTTGTTATATTTTGTTTTTTTGAGACAAGATCTCTCTGTAGTTCAAACTGGCCTTGAACTCCTAGCAATCCTCCTGCCTCAGTCTCCCAAGTGCTGGGACTGCAAGCATGCACCACCACACCCGAGCATAAATTTAGTTTCTTCGACTTGCTTTTCACCTCCACAAGACGAGGTGGCAGTGCCCTTCCTTTTGTCCCATCTCACAATCCCACGAATGTCCCCAGAGAATGTCTGCCCTTTACATCCACAGCAGTATCTTGATGGGGTGTCACCCAACTATTTGGCCTTTCCTGACTTTTTATTCTGAGGACAAGGACTCACTTTGCACTTTGTTAGGTTAGTTTTTTGTCAGAAGGGCATTTCATAGCCTTTCCAGAGTTCCAGATCGGACTGGTTTTACTACTTAACCCCAATTTGTCCTGTCCTTTGCTGCCAGCCCAGACTCCAGCCTTGAAGCCTTCTCCCCGGCCATAGCTGCTCTAGTGACAGAGGGGGCGGCCCCCGCACACCATTCTAACATCACCCTTCCTCTGGCAACTGCACTCCCATTTCTCCTGGAGCAGCCCCTGGCCCAGCTCTCAATCCCTGCTGCTGTAGAAGAGGTGACTCCACCCTCTGTGCAGATATAGACACATGACGCAGGGTTAGCCATGCAGAGCTTTTTTTTTTTTTTGAGACAGGGTCTCACTATGTAGTTGAGGCTGGCCTTGATCTCATTATGTAGCCCAGGTTGGCCTCAAAACCACAGTAATCCTTCTGCCTCAGCTGAGTGCTGTGGTTACAGGTGTGCACCACCATGCCTGGCTCATCAGAGCATTATAGAGTCCTGTAGCCATCCTATTTCAGCAGTGGGCTTGTGGCCCAGGGAGGTGAGGTTCCGGAAGTGAACCATTCAGTAAATCCATTTGCTAGGCTGGGGATTTAGCTCAGTGGTTTCACTGCCTTCTTAGCAAGTGTCAAGTCCTGAGTTCAATCCCCGGTACAAAAAAAAAAAAAAAAAAAATCCATTCGCTAAGGGCAGGATGTAACCCTGGTGTTCCTGGCAGCCAGCTTCCCACTTGGAGGAGAGAGAATGCCAGAGAATGAGACCAAGCTGGACAGGGGAAACCATGCTGAAAGATGGAGACATGAAACCAAGTACCAGTGGCATCGCCAGAGCACTGGGGGCCGGTCTTGCTTTGGCGGTCAGTCCTAACAGCCAGCAGGGTCCCTCACCTGCCTGAACCAGGCTGAGGAGTTCCCTGCAACAAACACAAGACTCTCAATGAATCGCTGTGCCCCCCACTCTCTCGTCTGTCCCCGTGGAGTACTTGTTGGCACCCTCTATGTAGATGATTTCCAAATCTCCACCTCTTCTGTCCCCTATTCCCACCCCATTTCCAAATTTCCAGCTACTCAGAAGTTCCATCAGCATCATCAAAGTCCTTCTCCAGCTCCTGCCTTCTCCATAGGAGCCGCACCTAAACGTGCCCTTGGTTCCTGCACCCTTGTAAATCCAAGGATTCCCCACCTTTTCTGTATCTTAGATCCTATTCCTACAAAATGTGTACCCAGTTTCTAGAGACTTCCTTTAAGAAGCTCTGCTTTACTTCATCTCACCTGGTACAGCATTCATCTTCTCAGACCCCCAACTCCAGCTCCAAAATCCTCACAGTTCTCTGGTTTGCTTTCTGAAAAAAATTCAGTGTCTTTTAGCTTGGGTCCTCTGATATCTACCACTAACTTGCCTCTTCCCTTCTGGTTCTCCAGAGAAACAGAACCAATAGGCTATGGATAAATAGAAGGATGGATAGATAGATGACAGAGGAACTGCTTAAATAATTTCGGAGGCTGAAAGTTCTAAGATCTGCAGGGTGAATTGGCAAACTTGGAGCTCCAGGAAAACCAATGGTATAATTCTGACCCCTGAGAACAAGGAGAGCTGACAGTTTGATTCAGTCCAAAGGCTGGCAGGCTTGATATCCAGACAGAATCAATGTTTCCATTTGAATCTGAAGGCTAGAAAAACTCTGCCTTACTTGAGGGAGGATCAGCGTTTTTTTTTTTTTTTCTACATAGGTCTTCAACTGGTTGGACGAGGCCCATCTACACAAGGCAGAGCAATCTGTTTTACTCAGTCTTCTGATTCAAATACTAATCTCATTCAGAAACACCCTTTTAGACCTTCACAATGTGTTTGACCAAATATCTGGCACAAGTCAAGTTGACGTATAAAATTAACCATCATTCCGTTTTTGTGTGTGAGACAGGGTCTCACTCTGTACTTCAGGCTGGCCTGGAACTCACTATGCAGCCCAGGCTGACCTCAAACTCACAGTGATCCTCCTGCCTCAGCCTTCTGAGTGCTGGGATTATAGGCGTGCACCACCACGCCTGGCTGCTATCATTCCTTCTATCACAAGTCTTATGCCACAGCTAGCCTGACCTAGTGTGATACAAGCAGGTGCTATGATTTCTTGCCCCTCTGCCCATGCTCATGCTGTTCCCCTTACCTGTTCATCCATCCTATCTGTAAAGTCCCAATCTCCTTTCCCGCCATGGACCACGCCTTTTGCCAACACTGACCTTGTGTCCGTTCCCATTTCTGTACAGGTCTCTGCAGATTCCAGAGTCTCTGTCTTCCACACTCCTGCTTCTCTCCTCTTTCAAGGACCAACCTAGGCCTGAGCCCTAAAGCCTCCTAGACATTCTTGGGCAGCCAATCATTCCTATAATACTTGGTATTTAAATCATGCCATACTGAAATCATTTGTGTCTATGCTAACTAAATCATCAGGCTAAGAACAGGCAGAGACATTATTTTACTTATTCTGTATCCTCCTACTTAATTCCCTGGTACTCTGCTGGCCCTCAGAAACATTTGATAAATGGGGCTGGAGTAGTAGGTTGCTTGTTTAGCACGTAAGAGGCCCTGGGTTCCATCTCCACACTGGAAAAAAATTTTTGATAAGCCAGGTGCGGTCACGCATGCTATAGCCCCAGCACTCTGGGAGGTTGAAGTGAGGGGATTGAAAACTGAAGCCCAGCCTGGGCAGCTTAGCAACTTAGCAAGACCCTATATCAAAACAAGATGTGAAGGCTGGGCAGAGGCGGCTCTGTTCCCCTGGCAATCCAGCTCACTTCCCCAGAGTTTAGCCTTTGCAGTGCTAAGGTTCCTCTTACAGTGCTAGAAAGAAATCACTGCTCTGTTGTCAATTTTTTTTTTTTTTTTGTACTGGGGATCGAACTCAGGTCCTTGCACTTGCAAAACAGGCGGTGGAACCACTGAGCTAAATCCCTGGCCCTGTTGTCATTTCTTACTGACACAAAGACAAATAAGACAACCTCAGAATCTTTTTACTAGAGTGCAAGCATTGCTGAAGCAAAGAAGGTTCAGTATTTTCTTTTTACTAAGACATATCCTTTCAAATAAATTCTTCACCCTCCTGGAGAATCCCCCAAGGAGAATAGGAAAAAACAAACATTTCTCCAGTTCTATTTAACTTTGAGAAAGGGTCTCACTGCGTAGTTCCAGCTGACCTTGAACTCACTAAGTAGTAGCCCAGGCTGGCCTCCAGTTCGCATTGATCCTCCAGCCTCAGCCTCCTGAGTGCTGGGATTACAGGCGTGTGCCACCGTGCCCAGCTATTTAATCATTTCTCAATATGTTTCTAGACAAACAAAAACAAACCCAGTAAAAGGGAAGTT